CCTTTTTAACTGTATGAAGGAAATTGTAGCTTCATTATATTTTCTCTTCTTTCTGCTCTGACTCAGGGAAGTACAGGAAACAGGTTCGGAATGTGACTCCTTAAATTCATCCATTGGAAGAAAACAGTCTCCTCCAGCAAGTCTTGAGATGTACCAGACAATTTCTCCTCAGAAAGTATCACCAGAAGAATTCTTACTTGAGGAATCATCTATGGGAGACTCCTCTTCTCTAACTGCAGATATTTCTAGGGGTTCTCCTGACTGTGTAGGCATGGCAGAAACTAAGAGCATGATCTTTAGTCCTGCAAGCAAAGTTTATAATGGAATCCTGGAGAAGTCTTGCAGCATGAACCAGCTTTCAACTGGGATCCCAGTCCCAAAGCCTCGTCACACCTCATGTTCTTCGACCGGCAGTGATAGTAAACCCAGCCATGAAGCTGCTTCTGTCCCTAGGATAAGCAGCATCCCACAGGACCTCTACCAGAATGGTGAAAAAAATAAAAAGCCATCAAAAATAAAAAACCTCTTTAAGAAGAAGTGTAAATGAGGTGGGCAGAAGAACCTATAGTAATATTATAAGAACTCTTATTTTTTAAATCTTTAGGAATGTAATTCCATTTGAGCATTCCAGACTGGATGCCCTAATGGAATACTCTGTAGGTCACCTATATTTAATGACTGTATTGTCAACGGTTGTGCCAGCTGTCAATGAGAAATCATTAAAAATTTCAGACAGTTTACATTAATTTCTGCCTATTTATTTCTTTATTTTTTTAGTTTGTCTTTTTCAGCCTTTTTTTTTTTTTTTTTTTTTTTTTTTTTTTTTTTTAATTGATTTGTTGGGCTTTTTTAAGTCTATTCATAAACCATTTTTAAGCCACTTTGGACTCCTAAGCTTTAATGGACTAGTAAGCCTTCTTGGGCTTGCCAAAGTTTCTTGTTTACTGGAGCATCTTCCTATCTTTCCATAGAAATAGGACATTTATCTACTGGACTTTAACAAAAATAAAAGAAGTAGAACTAAATGAGTTGCACTACTGTTTTACAGACTGGAACAGTCTCTGCAAGTGAAACGGAAAGACTTGTATTTGACTGAGAAGAGGAATCTTTTCACTTTTAGATATTTTGGGGTTTTTAAGTAGAATTTAGCATTTCTAATTGACTTGATTTCTGGAAATGGAAATGTCATGCTTTTATTATGGGAAGCTTTGTTAGATGCATTTATTATTAGAATGGTTCAAGTCCTGCTGTAAAGATCATTTTTTTCCCAGGACTTTCACTGTGATTTTAATTCACTGCAGGCTGTATGACAAACAAAAAAAAGAAAAAAATGGAAGGAAAAAAGAAAAAAAGTAAATTACCAAGAGAACAGGCTCTTGATTCCTTATGCAAGATGGTTGTGAAACTTGACTGAAGACTGAAAAAATTCACCCTCTCAAAATGAGGAGGGGGGATAGTAGCTTTTGTTTACAGATTGACAGACAATGGACATTTGGGTTGCGAAAGTTTGTACTGTGGTAAAGATAATAAATTGGAAACGTTATTGTGCTTGGGAATGTTCCAATTTTAGCTGATGCTTGTTTCAAGACATGTTTCAGAGGTCCTGTTAATTGGAAGCTGTCGTAGGCTACATTGCTTATGCTTACTGCTGTGTATAAGTTATTATATTTTTTGAATTAGCTATTATTGTCTTAATGTCCTCCTTTTGTAAGATTTCATACACTTTATTTTTGTATAGTTTGAAGATTTAGCTGTTCAAAGATGTCTGAAGTAAATAGTATAATTTTATAATGCACACTGTTATACTAACTCATAATTTTACATATAAAGATAGATATAAAGGTGAGATGACATGCTTCAGATAAAAGCAATTTTTGTGAAGCTTTTTTAGGGAGAGATGAAATTACTGTGAGGTAACAAGGAAGCCTTCTTAGGATAGCAGTAGCTAGTTGTTCAAAAACATCTTTTTATTTTTTTTTAACAGTTGGAGACAAAAAATGTATGGCTTAAGCAACAGTGCCTTTTATTCAGTTTGAAAATATTAATACTGAGCAGGAATTTCTTCTGAGGTACATTCCAAAGAAATATTTCCTGTTCTAGTCAATAGAAGCAATTTACCCAGTGATGACTAAACAGTCTCGGATCTTCCATGGAGGGTGTTCCAGTTGCCTCAGCAGCAGGTGCCACTGCCAGGGACTTGTGATTAGGGGCTCACTTCTTGCCAATATGTGTGTGATGTACTGTATGAAAGAATTATTTCACAGACTGCCTACATTTTTTCTAGTAAGGAGCCTTCAAAACCTGTAGCTAATTGAAATCAAGTGATGTGTCTTTTCTATAGTTTTCTTTTTAGGTTCCACTGTACATAGCCAATGTACTTCTCTCCTCAAGAAGTGGTGGTGATTTTAACAGTTTATTGTGGTTGGTGACATGGTTGAAAGAGAGTGGTTATAAAATGGGGTGGAGACCTTGCATGTGCAAGTACTTTAGATGTTCTGGTACACTGGTTAATTCCTTAAGAGAACGGAAATAATCCAGAGTTTTGTTGTCTGACTGATTGTAGGCCATGTATGCAGAAATGCATGGGACAAATCAACTGTGTGGTAAAGTTTGGAGAAGAAAAAATTGGTGGAACAGAAAATAATGAGTACATAATATTGTTCCATTATTCTCTGAATCATCAGGTTGAATAGCTGTAGCTTAAAAGAAAACCCAATGTAATCACAAGGTAACAATGGTCTCTTTGAACAAGGATTGTACATCTGGACATGGCAGACAACAAAAAGCAGTGATGAAAAATGTTGTGCTGAAGAACCACCTCAATGCTGAGCCTTCAAGAGCTGCAGTTTAAAGCCTGATGAAGTACTTGAACATCTACAAAGGGAACAATTTTATGCAAGTAGGGAAGTCACTGTGCCTCCCAAACAACACAGAGAAGACTACTACCAGAAAAATCTTCATGCACTTGAGAAGGCTATAGCAATAATTGAGTTTAAAATAATATCTGGGGCTGGATAGTAGATCTTGGTGTGAGGTTTGAGTAACTCTGTCTCTATCATTACCAAAAAAGATGAAAAAAAAGTGACGTTTTGGTACAGCAAGCATTTTTGGAGAGTAAACATTTACACATGGAAAAAAAGCTGGTACTGAGTAATGGAAGGGCAGCACTTCTTAATTATGATATCAAAATTGGGCAGACTCAAATCCTGAGAAGCCAAACCAGACAAATTCAGTTTTCTGTAGTAAGTATAACTAAAAGTGAAATAGAGGAGGTATTGAGCTCTTCATGGCTGAGAGTTCAAGAGTTAAATATATTTTTAAAAAAACAATTTAACTATTTTCTGGAAAAAACATATTTCATGATGTTGTTCAAACAAATCAGATGAGGTTAGCATAATGATAGATTCTGGCTTCAAAATGGCAAACCTTTGGAGCACAGACTCAACACTCTCAACGCTCAGTGTATCACCAGCTGTCCTGTAACTTTATAACTGCTTCTTAATAAGTGTTAGAGAACAAAAAGCTTAAATTAATACAGTCAGAAGTGGTGAGTATTATATGTTGGAGCACAAACTAATTTTAGGTTGAGTTTATTTTTTATTATTTTAATAGCCACTTGGATTTCTTGCCATTTAAATTTGTCCACAATTAAAGTGGCTTCCATTGCTCCTACTGCAGAAATTCCTGTCTTCAGGTGGTTCAAGTCATTTTCCCGAGGGACGTTGAGAGCCCTGGCTGTAAGGCAGATCCTCACTGGCGGCCACCAAACCCAGTCATAGTGTTGAAGTACCTGGCATATGCCCACATCTGAGAAGTGAGACAACATGCCCCAAAAGGTTCTCTGTTCCAGCTCCACTGGCTCACAGTGTAACTTGAACTCGCTGGCAGGCAGGGAGTCCAGCCAGCATTCCAACTGCTAAGATTCATAGGACATATCAGTCACTTGAGAGTCGGCTAGTGTCAGTAGAGATTGGTTTGTGGGCTTTTTGTTTTGTTTGTTTGTTTTGGATGTTTTTTTGCTCTTACAGCTAAAATACATGTTTTTTCTTTTTAAATTTTTTGGTATTTCAGAAGATGAGGCTCTTTGCTATTTATGTATTTTGTTAGAGTACTTTGTTAGGACAGCAGCTCCTTTATGGAAATTGCCTAAAAGACTTCTCCCTGTTTAAGGCTGCTGTTTAAGTCACTTTTGTAAAATGAAGAAGTGTCACATGTATTGTTCTATATAAAGAAGAAAAAAAATCCCAGTTCTTCCAAAACTAAGCAAACCCAAACCTTTCCAGAATTCTTACTAGAGCTGTATAATACTTGATTAGCATAAAAGTATTGGGAAAGGCATTTTGGTTGCCATGGGGAATGCTTTTACCATCTTACAATGGATTTAGAGATTAAAACAGTTGATTGTGTTTGGGTTTTTTGGTTTTTCATTTTGGTTGGTTCTCCTCCATCCCTCATTCCTACTGCTCAGTGATGGAACTTAAAATTGTTCATTGACAATTCCAGGCATATGCCCAGTTTTCTTCCCTTGCTGGTACCTAGGTAGCAGATTACCCTCTATTTCCTGAAGGGCAGTTTGCTGAAAGAGGAAAAATTCTCAATCATAGTTCAAGTAGTAATATTAAAGTATATAGTTCCTTTTTTGGAAGCCTAGAAGATGATGAAGCCAAGAATACTTGATTTCTGTTTTCTTACAATATTTATGGATGCCAGCTGGAATTAGGCAGTAATTTACAACTGATTGAAAGCCTAAAAAGATAAAGCTAATAAGGAATTAAAGCTTTCAAGATTTTTTCCTTTTGCCTCC